TTCAAAATTCTAGAGCAATGCTTATGAGTCTTGTTGCACATCAGTGGATGCTTATTTGGATTTGCCACCTTCTGGCTACCTTGTGCCAACCAAAAATCTGTCTTGACTTATCCTATGGATGAAATGCACATCCTGCTCCATCTAGAAGTTATATTTTTAATGATGTTCCATTCAAGGAACACTTGATTATCACTTGTCACACTGTACCCAATGCTCCAACTCCAGCCTTTGCCACTACATGATATACATCCCCGCTCTCTGGATAGCTATCTTCAGGACCAGCAGTACTTTTTATGAATTTCTGAAAAAGACAAAACGGTAGAAAACCATAAGTAACTCACCAGAAATATCTGATCAGTTTCATCCGGAGGACCTTGAAATTATTTTAACTGTAATCTGTGGAACCATGTATTAGTCCTTCACTTGCAACTGACTAATGGTACTCAATAAACTGAGAGTTAATTTCTGTTACAATAACATTCAATTCTTCAATATAGGCTGAGGGAAAGGTTCATTTTTGGAAACCTGGTGGTCTATCACCCAATCTACCACTAGATACTTCCCCTTTTTCAGATTTTGACTATTTGTTGTTGCAACCTATTGTCACTCGCTTTTTCCACTTTAAACTGTATTGCTGTTACAGAAATTTGCTGTATATTAATTGCTTATGCCTAAACAAAAAAAAAATACCAGCAACGCCTTTGCCACAGTGTAACATCAATCTCAGTCAAAACAGATGGAAAATGGAGAAAACATCCTAGCTATTTATGCACTTCACTTGACACAAATATAATCAACAGATACATGGGGCTATATTCTCCAAAAGGTCTCCTCTGTCAGGCATTGGTGGTGTGTTAAAGGGAATGGAGATTACACGAAACGCCAGTGTTTGGGAAGCTTTGCAATCCCAGGTCGACACAGTCCATTGGCAAACACTCAGCCACCTTTGATCTCCTGCTATTCCTCTACAGCCTATTAATCTACAAATCTTTCCTTCTTCTCCCTGTCACATTCCACAGGGAGAGTTCCTTCCTCAGTACCCTCTATCACTCCCAACACCTCTTCAACTCACCATCATGGAACCTTCCAATGATGCAATTGCAGATGTAACACAAGCATCTTCCATCCTCCTCACTGTCCAAAGCCCCAAATTTCAAGTGAAACATTTTTCTTTTAAAATCTAGTTTGCTTTATTTTCTGCTAACAATACAGTGTCCTTTACTCTGGCAAGAGCAAAAGGCTTAGTGATTGCTTTGCAAAACACCTCCTACGTGTTGCTTTCAGTAACTTGCCATTTCAATACACCATCTTCCTCTCATGCTTATATTTTTGTCCTAGGTCTGGTGCAGTGTGCCAGTGAAGCCCAATGCAAGAACTCCAGGAACAGCACATTGCAGCCTTCAGGATGCAACATTCAGTTCAATAACACGCACAGACCCCTATCCTAGGGAGAAGACCTTTGCTATTCACCTTATCTATGCCCCACATGATTTTATAAACCTCTATAAGCTCACGCCTCAAAATGCTATGCTTCAGGGAGAAATGTCCCAGCCTACCAAGCCTTTCTTTATAACTCGAACTCTCCCATCCCAAAAACATCCTTGTAAATCTTTCCTGTACCCGTCCCAATTTAATAATATCCTTCCTACAGCAGTGCAACTGTATGCAGTACTCCAAAAAAAGTGGCATCACCAATGTCCTATATTGCCACAACATGATATCCCAACTCCTAAAGTCAGTGCTCTGACAAATGAAGGCAAGCGGGCTAAATGCCTTCTTCACTACCTGTGATACCACTTTCAAGGAACCACATATCTGAACCCTTAGGTCTCTTTGTTCAACAACACTCCCAGTGCCCTACTGTTAACTGTATAAGTCCTGCCCTGGTTTGTCTTACCAAAATGCAACACGTTGCATTATTCTAAATTAAATTCCATCTGCCACTCCTCAGCCCATTGGCCCAGTTGATCAAGATCCCATTGTACTCTTAGATTTCTTCAGTCTTTCTTCAGTCAATCCACCCGTATCCCTTTTCTTCTACCATTTACCTTTTGCTTTGGGCTACTTTTACTATTCACTTTAATTGCTCCTCCTCCCTATTTCTAAAGTATAAGCCTTTCCACTTTTTTCACTTCTCCAGACCTGTTCTATTCTGAAGAAGAGGCGTATTGCATTCAAAATAGTAACTTTGTTTTTCTCTCTCCACAAATGCTAACAGACTCGCTGAGTTTCTTCAGAACCTGGTATTTTTATTCTCTCTCTGAGTGTGATTTAATTGGTTAAAGTGCTCAATTGAAGGTCATACCTGACTTAATGATTTCTGACATGTGCTAACATTCTGTTTCAGGGTGTTTTCTCATCTGGATCTGACATGATATTCTTGATTGATTCATAATCTTATTTCAGATTCTCAATCTGTAAGTCTCACAGGAAAATCTCAATCTCTTTACTACCACGTACAGTCTTCGGTTTTAGATTATCAAATTAGATGTGTTTTAGTCAACAAACCAAATCAAAACTAAATTATTGATTAATTAATTAGAGCCTTGAGTAGCCAAGTGACTCAGTGTGTCCCTAAGCTTGATTGGGAAGCTTGATCGGTCCCTTTTGTCAGCCCTGGGGTTGGACACAATAACCATAGCCCTGTACCAGATCTCAAGCTCTGAGGTTGGACACACTGAGCATGGAATTCCATACAATGTTGTAGGATATCCTGAAGGAAAGTCCGGTCATCTAGGAGACCTCTCTTGATTCAGGGGCGGTCAATGCTGAGCTTTCAAAAATAGCATTTTACAACATGGGATTTCAGTCTTTCTCCTCAGCATGGATCACAAAATCTTTACCAGACAGTGTCTGCTTATTTTAATGTAGTGCTAACCCACATGATCCATCCTGACCAGTCCTATGCAAACTTAGGCCACAACATCATCTATCTGCTTTTGGACCTAGCCCACAATTCCTAGAGGAGTGAATTGTCAATCACCTTCCTCTCCCTGGATTAGGTGAAAGATACAGCAGGGTGTATTATCAATATTTATTTTGGCAAGTACTAACATTCTGTTTCAGGGTGTGTTTTCTCATCTGGATCTGACTTCTATATGCTGCCACTGAGTGTCTGATTAAAGTAAACGGGTTTTTGGTGCTCTTTCACTTTGGAAGAGGAGTGCATCTGGATGGATGCTGAATGGAGTATTTCCTGTGCATCTTGCAGAGGAAGTTGATCAAACTGGCTCTACCGGGGGGCCAGGCATGCAAGTAATCTCACGGCTTAGATCAATAACTTGCAGCTCATGAGTATGGAGCAGGCAATATATCTCCAGAGGAGCTGGCCCATCGTTTGTCCTGGCTTAAGGTTGAGGCTGCTGTGACCCTGACAGTAGCATGCTGCGTCAGTTGCGCTGAGTGTGTCAAGGAGACTCAGGCGTGTGGAGCATCTTGTCCGAACTGACCTCCATTTGAGTGGAATTTCTAACTAGATCAAGCCCTCAAAAATTCCCAAGGGAGCTGTATGTCATAAGGCAAAAATTGTTTTAAAATCCCTTCTGCACCATTCCACACTGAGTGGAAAGATTTCCTGTATGGGCTACCCCTGAATACTTACAATATCTTCAGCCTTATCCATCAACTGCACAAAATTTTGAGCTCCATCTTGCCATCAGAAGGTACAAGTCTTCCCAGTGGAAAGCTCTCCATGTCACAATCCTCCCATTATCCATGAGGGGTTTGCATGGAGGGTGATGAACAGAGCAGTTCATGCAATAGATATTTAAGCAAACCACGGATGTTTATGTTGAGTGTGAGAGGTTGTAGGACCTCTTCCATTTGCTCTTCAATTTCTGGTTGAATTTCAGCCCTACATTTCTGATCTTTGACCACTCAGTTTCAAGGGGAGCATCTTTTTGGGACTGACACTGGGTCTGGACAAGATGGATAGTAACATGTTCAGACAGCAGGCAGTCAAGGAAGTCATTCAGCTCAATTGTTTGCCTGACTACAAATATTTATTTTCATAGTTGGCTTAAATGAAAGTTAAATGTACGCCTTCAAAAGGAGACAACTGCAAATTCTTAAAGTCAATGATAACATTATAGTCACAGAACAATCAAAAGAATAGCAATCTCTTTTCAGAGTAGCTGAAGCTGTCTAGTGTCTGTGTATAATTTTTTATTAACCTGTTCAGGTATGTTTTGACACATAACGATGGTCGGTGGGACTTTAACCAAGATGTTTTGACCTAGAGGTCAGGATGCTACCACTGTGTCACAAGGCCCTCCTGCTTTATATTTTTAATTGCCCTCTTCACATGATCTCTTTAAAGGATGACTTTTCAGAACAATTGCCAATATTAAGTAAGTCTTTACCCATCAGCCTTTTATTTGAACCATTTTCTCCTCACAACAATCTTATTTTCTGACATTTACTGTGAGATTTTAACATATTTCTTTTCATCCTAACTTTGGACAAGGGGTAGGGTGGACTGATCCAGAATGCAGGTGGATAATGACATTGGGACATTGGTCAACAGCCCCAGATTTCTGTATCTGTGCCAGCTGGTTCCACGTCAAAAACCAGCTCACATTTCAAACTGTGTGCACCTCTCACTGAATTTATTACATTGTGAGCCCTGGATCCAATCTAGCAAAAGAGGTTCAAAGCCATTTAAATTGCCTCTGTGTCCAATTCAAATTGTGATGTTCAAAGAGCAGGGACAGGTTTCTGTAAATTCATCAGGTCTAAAGTTTGATAATGAACCTGATGCAATGATATGCTGCAACATGGCAATGTTAAAATTTAGAAAAGTGAAGGTCGCCAAAAAGCATTTTACAACCAAATGTGCAATCACTCTGCCCCTATATCAGTGGTGCCAACCGCTAGGGAATGCCTGGTCATATTTATAAATTCATAAGTTATTCCACCAGCTAGAGAATTCATAAACGTTTATTAGTTTTCACAGCATTTAAGCATAGAATGGTAGCTATTATTACCTGTAATCATTAGGAAACAATAACAACTGTTACTCATAATTTAACATATGCTCGAGATGTTTACAGAGAGTTGTTTATTCTTTGTCATTGAAAATGGCCATAAAATCAACTTGAATTCAACAGGCTAAGTTTCATATGTGTGATGTGCTTGATAATGACTATTCATTCTAATTTGAGCACAAAAGGGTCTCATCCATGTTGGATATACGTGTATTGTTGGTGCAGAAGAGGTGCTTTTGACTCTGAACTTGCTCAACCTTTGGAAGTCATAGGAGGTGATGCCTTTTTTGATAGGCTGTTCAATTTGGGAATCCTGTGTGAGGTTTCCCCTCTTTGAAGTGATGTTGAAACTCTTTGCTGATATCATCAAGGTATCCTTGTGATTTTTCTGGCCTGTGTGTGAACATTTCCCTTCAGTTACATCATGGTAGAAGGGCAGCAATCATCAGGAATTCTGGCAATGTATCTTGCCTGTCTTATTTTAGCTCTTTTCAGCAAAGTGTGGATGTCATTCAGGGAGAGGATCTCAGTGTTAGGAATCTTGTCCTCTGATCTTGAGTATCTCCGCAAACAGGTCATGTGAAAGTGGATCAGAGGTAGTAGGAACTGCAGATGCTGGAGAATCCGAGACAACAAGGTGTAGGGCTGGATGAACACAGCAGGCCAAGCAGCATCATAGGAGCAGAGAGGCTGACGTTTCGGGCCTAGACCCTGTACCACTATGAATTACAGTAAACTCACCAGTAGATGTTTTTTATATTATTGACAGATAATTATGAAAAAAGCAAACAGACCCTTAAAACCATGAGCTCTTGACATGAGGGGAGAAGAGGGATTAACATCATCATTGGAGGAAGACCTGCCAATTACATCATCAGAACACACCGAACAGGAAGTAAAATCTCATTAGTATGTGTTGCAAAATTGGAAATGATGTCCTGAATTTGCTGAAACCTCAAGTCTTGCCACAGAGTCTCAGATATCAGGATGAGTTAACAGTTTTAGGGATTTGTCCCAACTATAAAATGCTGGAAACACAGGTTCAGTGAATGTGGATTGAAATGTGTATAAATGTTTCAGTGAGTCAGTGACCTGGAAAAATGACAAAGTCCCAGCCTCATAGTCTAAATTAACTCGGATCCTGTTTGCAGATGGAAGCAGTGGAAGGACTGTGAACTGTGAGTTATGCCGGGCTGTGAGATAACCAGCAATAAAATCCAAACTCCAGGATTTATGGCTGTTTCCAAGATAAGACATTTCCCCCTCTCTCTCTATGCTTTCATAAACAATCCCTATTCTCCAGTATTCCCCATCAGTCTGCACATCCCAGGAATGGGATCCTGAGGAGAAACTCTGGGAGCAGAGGACTTGGGGACAATCTTTAAACCTCTCTGGGTGATGCGGGTAGGACTGTTCAGTTTGGGTCCACGTTACTGATCTTAGATCATCAGACAGAACCAGGTTGCAGTTTGCTGTCTTTGGATCCAGGCTCAATGAGCTTTTCCCTAAAGAGGAGAGAAGAGATTGATCAGACAGAGTTATTCCACTCAGATCATTGATTAACAGCTCCAGGTTGGAGTCTAAATATTTCTCAGGCACTGTCAGCCCTGTATTACCCATTAGGTTGGATTCTTCCCATAGTAAATAAATGGCCTCAAATCAAACTCCCCTTTTAAATAGTAGTATATCGGCCACAGTGTGAGTGCTGTACACAATGTGCAAAGGCTATAGTGATTAACAAAGTAACGATCAGTTCGATTACACAAAGCTCAAGCACAGTGCACAGACACAATGGAAAGGTTCCACCAGCGCACGCCAGATCCCACAGTTTCACAGTTATAGTCCCACAGACTGTACTGAGACCACACAGCTCATAGGAGTAGATCCTAGACTGTCTCCCTCTTATTATTGTCCTCTCCTGAATACAGCCTGATTAAAAAGGCAGTCAGTTTATACATCACAGTGAGGATTCAGTTGTGCATTGAGATAAAATTCTGTGCATTAAACTATTGCTCCTTGTTGATTCTAAATTCACCAACGCTTCCTCTGGTGCCGTTTCTAAAACAAGGACCGATTCAGACCAGAAAGGAGGGAACAGGAACAGCAACCTGAACCTCAAACACCTATACTAAATGCAGGCGGTAAAAAGGAGAGGGTTATATATAAATTGCAGTCAGCGTGATCCCTGCTTCGGAATTTAAACGTACCTTGAGATAATCCTGCTCTTCTGTTGATTCCAATCGCTAGATGGAGGACATTTTCCGAGATAGGAACTGTTCCGGAAGAACTGTCTAGGGGTGGAGTTGCATTCAATGTCTCTCTATATTTGGTGGAATCTGGTACTGGAAACAAAGAACAGATTGATTAAAAATTATGGTGTAGCAAGGTTCAGCTTCCTTCATTTAGTCAATAGTGGATTATAGAATAGAATCCCTACACTGTGGAAACAGGCCATTCAGCCCAACAAGTCCACACTGACTCTCCGAAGAGCATCTCACCCAGACCCTGTCCCTGTCACCCTGCATTTCCCATGGCTAATACACCTAACCTACACATCTTTGGACTGTGGGAAGAAATTGAAGCATCCAGAGGAAACCCATGCAAATAAGGGGAGAATGTGCAAACTCCACACAGTTGCCCAAAGCTGGGATTGAACCCAGGTCCCTGATGCTGCGAGGCTGCAGTGCTAACCACTGAGCCACGATGCTGCCGATTATAGATTCAATCTTTAGATTTTCCTACATTACAACAGGGACAGGAGCAGAGGTAGGCAATTGGACCCCTTGAGCCTGTTCCACCATTTAGTACAATCATGACTCAGCTCCTCTTGCCCTCAACTCCACTTTCTTGTCTGCTCTCCATAATCCTTTAACCCATGACTAATTAAAAATCTATCTCCTCCTTAAATTTATTCAATGTCCTAAAGCACACCACAATCTGAAGAAGTGACCCTTTGAGAGAAGTGGTTCCTCCTCATCCCTGTTTTAAATCTGGCACCCCCAAGCCTAAAACTATGACCTCTTATCCTAGATTGCCCACAACAGGAAACATCTGCTCTACATCTACTTTGTCATCCCCTTTAGCATCTTTTAAACCTCAATTAGATATCCTCTCTTCCTTCTAAACTCTAGTGAGTATAGGCCTAATCTGCTTAATCTCTCCTTTTAAGACAAGCCTTTTATCTCTGGAATTAATCTAGTGACCATCCTCTGAATTACCTCTAATGCAATTAAATCCTTCCTCAAGTAAGGGCATCAAAACTGCATACCGTACTTCAGGTGCAGTCTTACAATTGCAATACTCCCTACATTATACTCCATTCCTTTAGCAATAAATACCAAAATTCCATTTGCCCTCCTTATTACCTGCTGTACTGCGTACTAACTTTCTGCAACTCATATACAAAGACACCCAGATAGATCCCTCTATACCAAAGCATTTTGAACTTTCTCTTCACTTAGGTAATAAGTTGCCATTTCATTCTTTCCACCAAAATGGATAATTTCACACCAATCTACTTTAAAATTCCATCTGCCAAATTTGGCTCATTCACCTAATCCAACCATATCCATTTGTAAACTTCTTACTTATTCATTGCAACTTACTTTTCCATCTATTTTAGTGTCATCTATAAATTTGGCAATAGTACATTCTAACCCTGAATTCAAGTCATAGATTGTAAATAGTTGAAGCCTGAGGACCGAACTCTGTAGCATGCCATTATTTACAGCTTGCCAACCAGAGGGAAAAAAAAAATCCTGCTTCTCTGTTTTATGTTAATTAGCCAATCCTCTATCCGAGCTAATATAATTCCCCAAACCCTGTGTGATATTACCTTGTGTATTAAACTGTTATTGCAAACCTTATCAAATGCCTTCTGGAAGTCCAGATATACCACATTAGGACCCCCATTATCCACTTTGTTTGTTATAACTCTGAAGAATTTTAGCAATTAGTCAATCACAATTTACCCTTCCACAAATCATCGTGTCTCTGATAGATTGCGTTTTCATTTTCCAAATATTTTGTCACTGCTTCCAAATATTTGAATCAATAATTTATTCTAAACAATTTCCCAATGACAGACATTAAACTAACTGGTCTGTAGTTTCCTACTTTCTACCTCCCTTTTTGAATAAGGCCTGTTATGTTAGTATGTTTCCAATCCACGGGAACTTATCCAGAATCGAAGGAATTTTGGAATATTGTAACCAATGGATCCAGTATCCCTGCTGCAACTTCTTTTAAGACCCAAGGATGTAAGCCTTCAGGCCCTGTGGACTTGTGCAACTTCAATGTCAATAGTTTACTCAGTACTTTTTCTCTAGTGATGGCAAATGTTTTAAATTCGATTTTTACTCTAACCTTATTACCAGTTACTACTGAGATGTTTTCATTGTCCTCTACCATTGAGGCAAAGTATTGATTTACTGTCTCTGCCATGTGTGTATTGCCCACTATTAACTCCCTTGCCTTGTTCTTTAAGGGACCAACATTCAAGTTAGCTGCTCTATTCCAATTTATATACCTATGGAAGCTTTTACTATCCATTTTTATATTTTGCATTAGTTTTCTTTCATAATTAACCTTTGCTGGTTTTCTTACATGCTTAGTATCCCCTTGTTGGTCTTTTAAAGTTTCCCAACCCTCAGCCTGCCACTGACCTTTGCAATATGGTATGCCTTAGCTTTTGCCTTTATGTTATCTTTAACTTCCTTACTTAGCCATGGATGCTTTTTTCCCCTCTTAATCGTTTTTTCCACTCTGGAATATACTTTGGTTGGGATGAGTTGAATATCTTCTTAAATATCTGCCATTATTCATCAACTAACCTACCTTTTAGTCTTTCTGTCCAATCCACGAGGGCTAAATTTGTCCTCATGCCTATGTAATTACCTTTGTTTAACACGAGGACAGTAGTTAATTTTCTCATCCTCAAGCTAAATTTGAAATTCCAACATGCTATAATCACACTTTTCTAGAGGATCCTTTACTATGAGAGTGTATATTAATCCCATCCCATCTCATTACACAATACAGCATCCAAAACAGCCTGCTCCCTGGTTGATTCCCCAATATTTTGCTCCAAGAAATACACTCTATGAACTCTGCCTCAAGACTACACTCGACAGTTTGATTACTGTTTTCAAGAAGATATGTAGCTCGGGTTGTGGATGAGGTTGTAGACAGCTTGCCAAGCCGGTGGGTTTGGTTGCAAATGTTTCGTCACCCTACTAGGTAACATCGTCAATGCGCCTTCGGTAAAGCATTGGTGTTCTGTCTTGTTTGTTATTTATATGCCTCAGTTTGCTGGGACGGTTGGTATTACTTGTGGTATTGTTTGTCAGTGGTTTGTACAGAGCATCTAATTCAGTGTGTTTGTTGATGGAGTTCCGGTTGGAATACCAGGCCTCCAAAAATTCCCTGGTGTGTCTCTGTTTGGCTTCTGAGATTATCAATGTGTTGTCCCAGTCAAATTCGAGTCCCTCGTTGACTGTGTGTAGTGAGACAAGTAAGAATTGGTGGTGTCTCGTGGTGGCTAGTTGGTGTTCATCTATCCGTATTGTCAATTTTCTTCCAGTTTGGCCTATGTGGTGTTTCTCACAGTCCTTGCATGGTATTTTGTATATTATCCCAGTTTTGCTGGTTTTGGGTATGGGATCCTTTACATTCGTCGGTAGCTGTTGTAGGGTGAGCTGTCAGTTTGTAGGCTACTCTGGTACCTAGGGGTCTGAGCAGTCTTGTGGTCATCTCTGAAATGTCCTTGATGTATGGTAGGGTGATTAGTGAATCTGGTTGTGTTATGTCTTCCTGTTGTGGTCTGTCTTGGAGGTAACGGCGGATTGTTATTTTCGGGTATCCATTTCTTTTGAAGACTCCGTATAGGTGCTTCTGTTCTGCTTTGTGTAGTTCCGAGTTGCTGCAATGTGTTGTGGCTCGTTTAAATTGTGTCCTGATGCAGCTCCGTTTATGGAAGTTGGGTTGGTTGCTAGTGTAATTGAGTATCTGGTCCATATGTGTGGTTTTTCTATATATGCTAGTCTAGAGCTCCCTGTTGTTTTTGCATTCTACCATTATGTCCAGGAAGAGTAGTCGGTTGTTGTTCTCTTCTTCTTCTGTGAATTTTATCCCGGTAAGGATGTTTTTTATGTGTCAGTGGGTTTCTTCTGCAAATTTGTGAATATTAGATGCACAAAAAAGTCTAATTTTTTGATAACAACCGGTCTCATCACTAACCTGCACTCCTACTTCTCGTTACACTTTTTTTATTCTCCTTGCAACAGTACCTTCCTTTCCCACTATTTAGTTAAAAGCACTCTCTACGGCCCTAGATATGCAATTCACCAGAACTCTGGTCCCTAACAGAAACAACTCCCTGTTTCCCTAAAACTGGTACCAATGTCCCATGCATTTGAACCAGTTTCTCCTGAACCATTCTTTGAGCCATGCATTTGCCATTTTAATCTTCTTGACCCTGTTCAAATTAATTTGTGGCTCAAATATATAACTTAATGGCTATAAAGCACTTTAAGGCATCCCAAGGTTGTTAAATCTGCTATAAAATTGACTTTCGTCTTTACAAATGACTTTATAAAAATTACTGTTTAAACTTAAGACAGTTTCAGAAGAAATATGACCAAAAAGAAATGGATAAATAGAAATGAAAAGACCTGAGAGAAAAACGGGTAAGTAGATAAATGAGCAAGCTAAGTACAAGTTACAGTCAGTGTGATCCTTATTTAGCATTAAAAACACACCTTGGGATATTTCTGCTTTCTTGCTGATTTCAGATGATAGCTGGAGAACTTTCCCAGGATCAGGAGTCTCCTCAGAGGAAATATTTGATGGTTTCATGTACTCGGTCGAATCTGGCACTGTAAGAAAAATAGAGTGATTGAAAATTGTGACACTGCAAGGTCTACCCGACTTCCAGTCACTCAGTGATGGTTTATGAATTCCATCTTTATATATTTCTCCAATGCAACTGTGAGTACATTTCAAAAATAAAACTTTATTGGTTCCAAGTACTTTGGAATAATCTAATCACAGAATTCTGAGTTGCAGAGAGTGCTAAATGTTCAATTGTATGTGTCACTAAACAATAGTATGTAAGTTAGAATCAGAAAATCCCTACAGCGTAGAAGCAGGCCATTCAGCCTATCCATCCCATCAAGTCCATGTTGACTGTCAGAAAAGCATCCCACCCCAATCCACCCCATCCCTATAATCCTATATTTCCTACAGCTAATCCACCTAGCCTGCACATCCCTGGACATTATGGGCAATTTAGCACAGCCAATCCACTTATACCGTACATCTTTAGACTGTGGGAGGAAACCGGAGCACCTGGAGGAAGCCCACACAAACGCAGGGAGGATGTGCAAGTTCCACACAGACAGTTGCCCGAAGTTGAAATCAAACTTGGGTCCCTGGCACTGTGAGGCAGGAATCACCATGCCACCCCCAAGTTCAGCAAGTAATTAAGAAGGCTAATAGAACGCTTTATTTCATTTCGAGAGGAATTGAACATAAAAATAAGGATACCATACTTCACTTACACAGACATTAGTCAGACCACATCTGGAATACTGTTTTGGTCTCCTTACTTAAGGAAGGATGTAAATGTGTTGGAGGCAGTTCAGAGGAGGTTTATAGATTGATACCTGCGATGTGTGTGCTGTCATTTGAGGAAAGGTTGTACAGGCTGGGCTTGTTTCCAGTGGTTTAAAAGAGTGACTGGTCTCTTGATTGAAGTGTGTATGATCTTCAATGTTTTTGACAAGGTGGATGTGGAAAGGATGTTTCCTCTTATGGATGAATTGCAAACTAGAGGGCACTATTGAAAAATTATATAGAATGTTTTCTTTCAGAGGGTTGTGTAACTTTGGAACTCTGCCTCAGAGTGTCATTGAGTATTTATAAGAACGAAGGTAGATAGATTCTTGTTAGGCAAGAGAATCAAAGGCTATCATAGGTTGTTGGGCATTCAGAATTGTAAGCATAAACAGAATCCTTATTGACTGGTGAAGCAACCTCAAGGGGCAAAATGGTCTCCCCTGCTCCGAGTTATGTGGTTGTGAGAATTGCTTAATAAATGTAAGTCTTTTTACATTGTTCTTAGACAGTTCCTTGGGATCAAAGAATCACAGAATAATTACACCAAAGGAGACCATTCGCGCCATTATACCTGCATTAGTTCTGTTACCTACTGCCAATCTCCTGCCTTTTCCCCATATCCCTGTACACCATTTCTATCCAAATAATCATCCATTGCCCTCCTGATTGCCTGAACTGAATCTGCCTCAACCATATTTCATGGCAATGCATTCCACACTCTAACTACTTGCTGTTTAAAAAAAGCTTTTTCTCATGTCACCTTTGCTTCATTTGCAGATCACTTTAAATCTCTGCCCTTTTAGTTTTTTTTTAATAAGCGGAGATAGCTTCTCCCTGTCTACTCTATCCAGTCCACTTATGTTAAAAATCTCAAGCAAATCTCTCCTCAGCCTTCTTCTCTCCAATGAGAACAGAACAGTTCCAACTTTTTCACTCTATCCTTACAAAGGATGACTTTTCCCCACTAAGAATTGAGAGTTCTGGTGTAGTTAAACAGTTCAAAGCTGGATCTGCGCACTCTGCCACAGGGTGGTGTTTGAGGAGGAAGGTAGAATGGATGCTCAGATTTTCACACACTCCTTCCACTGTTTGCACTTGGCCTTTATCTGTCAGAAATGCTTGAGATGATTAGTACTGTCATGGAACTATATTCACCAGTTTGGGTGGTCCAGGGCAAAAGAGTCACACAAGTCAGTGGGAGTATTGCATTTTTTTTCAAGGGGTATATGAGAACATCCTTGAAGCATTTCCTGTGCCTTCCTGGTAACCACTTGATGTGACAAAGTTTGGAGCAGAGAGCTTGTTTAGGACGTCTTATTGTAAAATGTGCCTTGTGCAATTTCATGGATTGACCATGCTGGGGATGTTTAGCTGAGAGAAGACATTGTTATTAGTGCACCCATCCTGGATTTGAAGGATTTTACTAGGGCATCACTGGTGATTGAATCTAGGGAATCAGCGTTTTTGCTGTACATGCCCCACGTCTCTGTTCCAACAGAAAGGCAAGTAAATACAGATGCGCTGCGGACCATGAGCTTACTGCCAGATTTGAGGTATTTGTCATCAGGTCCTCTATCCCTCAGAGAGCCAAAAGCTGTGTTGACAAACTGGAGATAATGTTGAATTTCATCATTGGTGTTGACAGCATGAGTTTATAATGATTCTGACTATAATTTAACAAGGTCAGCCAGGTGGACTTCATAAAATATGGGTTTCTTGATTAGGATTGTTTCTGTGGCCCATTCAGGGAGCCCTGGCTGACAGATAAGAACAGGAGTGTCAGACATCCCGTTCGCTCTGAGGGAGCTGGATCAGTGTCAAGTATTCTCCATGTGTAAATAAAGGGTAACTCAGTGATAGGACAAAGGCCTTTATGGAGTTATTTCACTGACAGTTCTATGAGGGACAGTGCCTCTTTAAGAAACACTCTGATCAACCCCATGAAACCCCATCCTTCCCGGGACCATGGTGGGTGAAACTCTGGCCCATTCCAATGAGAATGTTTCAAGCAGGTGTCACTGAGGCCTGAGGATGAATCTCAGGCTCCTGATCCACATACACAGGGAGCCGACATTAAAGTTCAGGAATTTTCCCAGCTGTTTGAACAAAACTAACTCAATTTCCCCTAGATTATCGAAAAGCTTCACCTTCTTACCAACAATTCGCAAAATGTCTGACTGGTACTTTTCCCATCCATTCAGCCTCTTCTGGATAAATTGAGAAATACTGGGCAGGTTCATAGCGAGCTCTGATATAGTTAGTAATGTGATTCTCTGAGTCTCATTCGCTCTGTAATGGAGAAGGAAAGAATAGTCTTATCAATCAGATCAGAAATCTAAAGGGGAACAAGATCATCAAGAACTGGTATGCCTTCTAATGTTTGTACCGACATCCTACAGGAACCCATCCTGAAAATGTCAGAATCCTAGGGTTTAACAGTCTCCATTTATTTGCACTGATCTCCACATGTTGAGATGGATATTATAAACCTTCAGGGACTGACCAAGAAGGATTGTAAAATTGGGAGGTTTCCTGGTGAGAGTTTTCCTAACTGGTCTCATTCATTCCAGACTCCACGTACCTTAGTTGGGATCTTTCCATGAACTCTGTTTCTTCCAGGTGTTGTCCAAGCAAGGTTAATTAGTTGAGAAATACAGCTGAGTGTCCTGCAAATGGTTGAGGCAGGTTCAATAGGAAACATAATAAAATTCAGCCAGTGCAGCAGGAACTTGATTCACTGCCACTTCAGATCAGTTTGTGGTTTTCAAATCCACTCTATTTAGTTCAGTTTCTCTGCACTGGAGACTCATTTTTCCATTATTAATAATGGTTATTATCCCAAGTCTGTGCACCACCCTTCTCTGCAGGAGCACATGAGCAGAGGAGAAAGAACATCTTCTCAGAGAACAGGGATCACTGTGATTACCTGAGAGGTTGATTCTCATAAGGAGTTTGGGGTTTGAATTGGGAAATCTTACTTATATTAAAGCATATGATTGTAGTAACTCAATCTCATTCCTACTCAATCAAAGGAATCAGTTCATTATTGAGGCTCTTGTGAAGGGTGGTGAAGGGCTAATAAATATTCCAAATTTGCTGCTCAATAATACATGCCAGGTGGTGACTGAAATAAGTGTAGTAATGGTAGAAGAATTGAACACACACTTTGATTCCATCTTCACAAAAAACAGCACAAATAACCTCCCTAAAATGAAAACAGAAAACGATGGGGATCACAGCAGTCAGGCAGCATCCATGGAGAGTAAGCACACTAACATTTCAAGTCTAATTGACACTTCATCAGAGCTGATGTGAAGTGTGGAGGCAATGGTGGAGGGTGGAGTGATGGGGGAGAAAGGATGTTGATAGTTCAGATTAATTGATTGGAAAGTGAGAATGGCAGAAAAATGGTATGTCCAACTCCCAGACTTCAAAGAACACAGTCCCACTGGGATTGCGGGGAGGGAAGAGAGGACATGGTGACAGAGAATATAACATGTAAAGCTAAAAGAAAGGGAAGGAATGGGAGTGGGTTCATAATTTGAAGGTGTTGAACTCAGTATTAAGTCCAGAAGGTTGTAGAGTGCCTAGAGTCAATAAATGTGGAGCTGGAACTGCACAGCAGGTCAGACAGCATCTGAGAAGCACAGAAGTCAACATTTCAGGCTGAAACCCTTTGTCAGGACTGGGGAGGGGGAGGGGGAGGGGAGCCCAGAAATAATTAGAGGGAGGGGTGTGGGGCTGGGGGCTGGGGGCTGGGCGGAGGGTAGGTCAGATGGAGATAGGTGGATGCCGGTAGGTGGTTATTGTGGTTGGTCAGTGGGAAGGGGGAAGCAGATAGGTGAGTCAGACGATGGACATGTTGGGGGTGGAGAGATTTTGAAGCTGGTGAAGTCAATATTCAGGCCATTGGCTGTAAGCTCCCAAGGCAAAATATCAGGTGTTGTTCCTCCAGTTTACGTTTGGCCTCACTCTGGAGGAGGCCAAGGATGGACATGTCACCAGAGGAGTGGGAGTTAAAGTTTGGTTGGTAGAGTAGGTGCTCTGCAAACCGGTCCCTGAGTCTGTGTTTGGTATCCCAGATATAGAGGTGACCACAATGGATACAGTAGATGATATTAGATGAAGTGCAGGTGAATCTTTGCCGGCTTTGGAGGGATTGTTGGGGCCTTTGACGGAGTTGAGAGGGGAGGTGTAGGGGCGGTTGCAGGGAAAGGTACCAGGTGTGGTGGAGGGCTTGGTGGGGAATGTGGAGCTGACGAGGGAGTCGTGGAATGAATGGACCCTGCAGAAAGCAGGGGTGGGGAGGGAAATATCTTTTTGGTGGTGATGTCTGATTTTAGATGGCAGAAATGTCGGAGGATGATGCATCGTATTCAGAGGTTGATGGGGTAGTATGTGAGGACCAAGGGCACTCTTATCCTTTATTGTTGTTGGGGGAAGAGGGTTTGAGGGCAGATGCATGAGAAATGTGAGAGATGCGGTTGAGGGCATCCTTAATAACAGAGGAGGGGAAACTACGGTCCCTTAAGTAGGAAGTCCTAGAGTAGAACATCTCATTCTGGGAGCAGATGTGGCAGAGGCAGAGGAATTTTGAGTATGGGATAGCACTTTTGCAGGAGGGTGGGTGAGAGAAGGTGTAGTCGAGGTAATTGTGGGAGTCAATAGGTTTAAAATGGATGTCAGTGCTGAGTCGGTTACCAGAGATGGATTTAATCCCCTACCTCCATCCACCTACCCTCCCTCCAGCCCCACTCCCCTCCCTCTATTTATTTCTGGGCTCCCCTCCCCCTCCCCAGACCTGACAAAGGGTTTTGGCCCGAAACATTGACTTCTCTGCTCCTCAGGTGCTGTCTGACCTACTGTACTTTTCCAGCTCCACATTTATTGACTCTAGCTTCCAACATCTGCAGTCCTTACTGTCTCCAGGTTGTTCTAAAGTGCCTAGTCTGAAGATGAGATGTTGTTCCTTCAGTTTGTGCTGAGATTCACTGGGGTATTGCAGCATGCTGAGCACAGACGAATGGGCATGCGAGCAGGACGCTGTGTTAACATGACCAGCTACGGGAAGATCGGGGTCATGCTTGTGCACAGACTAGCGGTGTTCTGCAAAGTGGTCATCCAATCTGCATTTGGTTTCTTCAATGTACAGTCAGCCACATTGGGCACAGCGAATACAATACACAAGATTGGAGGAGGTACAGGTGAAATGCTGATTCACCTTGACAGACTGTTTAGGCGATTGGATGGTGAGCAGGGACAGGTGTTACACGTTTTGCAGTTACATGGGAAGGTGCCATGGGAATGTGGTGTGGTGTTAGTGGTCGAGGAATGGACCAGGGTGTCCCAGAGGGAATGATCCCTATGAAATGCGGACGGGGTTTGAGAGAAAGATGTGTTTGGTGGTGATGTACTGCTGGAGTTGTCTGAAATGACGGAGCATGATTATCTGAATGCAAAGGCTGGTGAGATAAAATGTGAGGACAAGGGAGACCCGAAAATACTGTTGTAAGTGATGGAAAGGGCAAGGATGGAAGCATGGGTGATAGGTCAGAGGTGGATGAGCGCCCTGTCAACCACAGCAGATGGGAAACGAAGGTAATGGAAGAAGGAAGCCATCTCAGCTGCGCTTTTTGGAAGGTGGCATCATCCAAACAGATATGACATAGACGAAGGAACTGGGAGAACGGGGTGAAATTCTTGCAGGATTTGGGGTGTAAGGAACTGTAGTGAAGGTTGCTGTGGGTGTCAGTAGCTTTATAGTGATGGCAGTGGACAATTTACTCCCCGAATGGAGACAGAGACGTCAAGGAAAGGAAGGGAAGAGTCGGAAATGGACGATGCGAAGTTATACAGGGATGAAAATTAGAGGCAAAATGAACAAATTTTTCAAGGACCAGACAGGAGCATCATGTGGCACCGAAGCAGTCATCGACGTACCAAAGAAAGAGTTGTGGGAGAGGGTTGAGTGTAGGACTAGAACAAGGATTGTTCCACATACCCCATAAAGAGGCAGGCATAATTGGGACCCGTGCAGGTGCCCATTGCCAGCAAAGGGGAGTGGTGTGGATAGGGATTGTTCAAGAGCTCTGAGTGTCCTGGTGGGGAATGGAAGTATAGAGGGCTGACAATCTACATCCTAAAGTGAAAAAGGATGTGATTCTGGAAGTATCGGATACATTGGTGGTCATGTTCCAAAATTCCATAGATTGTGGAGTAGTTCATGCATATTGGAGAGTGACAAATTTAAACCTATTATTTAAAAAGGGAAGGAAAGAAATATTAGGGAATTATGGGCCAGTTAGCCTAACATCGCAGTGGGAAAATGCTAGATTCTATTAAATAGATGTGATAACAGATCATTTTGAAAGCCTTAATAGTTCCGTACAAAGGCAGTAAGGGTTTATGAAAGGCAAATCATGCTTAACTGATCCATTGGAGTTGTTTGATAATGTAACCAGTAGAATAGATAAGGGAGAACTAGTGGATATGGTGTATTTGTGTTTTTAGAAAGCTCTTGGTAAAGTCCCTCAGAAGAAGTTAACAGGCAAAGTTAAAACACATGGTGTATTATGTTGGCATGAGTCGAGAAATGCTGACAGACAGGAAACAGAGCATGGAAATAAATTAGTCTTTCTCTGCACGGCAAGCAGTAACTAGTGGGATACCACAGGGATCGATGCTTGGGCCCTAGCTATTCATGATATAGATATATATGAGCAAACCAAATGCAACATTTCCAAGTTTGCTGATGTTACAAAACTGGACAGGTTGTGATGAGGATGCAGAGAGACTTCAAGGTGATTTAGATAAGTTGAGTGAGCCAACAATCATATGGCAGATGCAATACAATGTGATTAAATGTGAAGTTATACACTTTGGTGTGAGAAACAGAAAGAAATACTATTTTTTAAATCATGATATATTGGGAAGTACGGATGTATGAAAGGATCTGGGTGCCCTTATACACTAGGTCAATGACAGTAGATGGGCAAGTGCAGCCAGCAATTCATTGCAAGACAATTTGACTTCAGAAGTAGGGATGTCCTACTGCAGTTATACCAGGCCTTGGTAAGAGCATACATAGAGTATAGTGTGCAGTTTTGGTCTCCCTACCTCAGAAAGGATATATTTGCCATAGAGAAAGTGGTGCAGAAGTTCAATAGGGTGATACCAAGATGACAGGACTGACCTCTGAGGAGAGATTAATTCAACTAGGCCTGTATTCATTAGGGTTTGGAAGGATGAGAGAGGATTGAAATGTTAAAATTCTAACAGGGCTGAACAGACTAGATGCAAGAAGCACATTTTCCCCAGCTGGGGAGTCTAGCATCAGTGGGCACAGTCTCTGGATATAGTGTAGGCATTCAGGAGTGTGGGGAGGAAAATTGTCTTCACTCAAAGTGTAATAAGCCTGTGAAATTATCTACCACAGAAGGCTTTGGAAGCCAAGTCGCTGAATATATTCAAGAAAGTAATAGATACATTTTTAGCTTTTAAAGGCATAGGCTTATGGAGAGAAAGTAGAAGTATGGCATTGAGATAGAAGATCAGCTGATTATATTGAAAGATGCAGATGACTCAAAGGGCCAACTGGCCTCCTCCTGCTCCTAGTTTCTGTGTTTCTAGGTCAGGGAGCCTAGTGCTGTTGGTTGCCCAGCAGCAGCTCAGGGATTGAAAGAGCTGACTGTCCCAAGGTCAGTGGTAATTATCTGCTCCTTTTCATACTCCTTGTGAATTGGGAGAAACAGGAGACACCCATTGGAACCCATAGACCTTATCAGCTTCCCATTTTAATGGAAACCCAGATCTTTTGTTTCCCTTCCATGATAAGGAGGTAACAATGAGTCCCCAACTACAGCCTCCTTTTTACATCTGAAGGCATTTTGATAATGAGTAATGCAGCTTTCTCTCGGATTTCTGAGAAGCTCCTAACAAGCAGTTCATAACATCGCCGTTTCCAACAGGCTGTCTGAGCCAGTGACTCCTCAAACCACAGTGGAATATCACTCGATATTCTCACCATTTGAAATGACTGTATCAGGGAAGGTTTCCACACTTATATTTTACTTCCACTCTTCTCCCAGAGAAAGGTTCCCTAACAGCAGCCACTGTATGACTGAGAGGAGCTTACCTGGAAATCAGTTGCCTTGAGTTCTACAAATAAAGAAAGGAGATCAAATCAGTCAACAAACAAACAGACACCCATAGGAACACGACAATGAATTTGTGATTGAGAGAAAGAGTTCAGTGTTGAACAGAAGATGGGGCCAGTCACAGAAATAGGGAACAATTCACATTTCACTGCACTCCATCTTGAGAGAGTACCGACACTTCGAGGACTGGACTGGGCAGGCAGCAAAAATATTCCAAGAGCAGAGCTGAAGGTGCAGCGCCAACGTTCTGAGAAAAGGGCCGAGGGGGCAGCACCATCACCCTAAGGGTAGGACTTAGGGGGGAAGCACCAACACTCCAATGGCAGGGCTGAGGGGGCAACTTCAATGCTGGGCTCCAACAACAAACTTCAAACAATTCAGCCTTACACCAGCCTCAAATATCTGATATCTCAGCCATGGTCCTGTTTACACTGAAGATGTACCTGAATAAAGGACAGATGGTCTCTTCGTACCAGATTCTGGGTTTCCTTATTTATTAATGTTATCAGTTCCATTCTCTTCTTTAATGCTTCAGTACAGCTTCTAATCTGTGAGAGAGCTCGGCGACCCTCTTCATCAATCAGTGACATGGTGGACTCTTCATCTTCTTCCAGCTTTTTCCTCCATTCAGAGAAGCTCTTCAGTAGATTTTCTTTCAGATCATTGATCTGTGTCTGAAACCAAAACTAACTCTCATTACAAACAGTATTTCCTCACAGCCAATACCCTGAGCACATGGCACTTTCTAGGTACAGGGTAGTTTGTTTTAATCACCAACCTATCATCGTTAAAGATAGACAAGCAGTGGGGTGGGAGGGTGTCCACGAGGAGGGAAAACAGAGTTTCATCAGTGTTACCTTGAGTTTCAAAGAAAGTGCACTGTATTTTAAAGGGAGAGGGAGAGTAATTTCCCGGGTTTGTTCTGAATTGGTTGCAGGTGTCTATTCTTTCTTCTGTTTGTCTTTCCTAGGTCAGGACATGGCTCGTGGTGGATCAGTGGGTGTGTGAATGAACCCTCTCTGCATGGAGCAGGCTTACTGGGGCAAATGGGATTTTCTTTCTCTTCTATTCTACGTTCATATGATCCAGCCTCTGACTGCCACTTGGTCCATCCACACCTGGAGTAATGGCTTCCAGTTTTGAGGGAGACTGAGATTCTGGAGTGGATGTGACCGGAATGATACAAGAGTCTGATAGATTTTAGTTAAGAGGATCAACTCCAAAGGGTCAGGTGACTGAGAGAAAGACTGACTAAGAGGGACCTGATGGAGATGTTAAAATGATAGAGGGATTCCTGTAGCCATTTGTTGGATGGGATGACTGAGATGGATCAGGATGGTCAGATACATATCCTGTGAATACAACGCATAGGTTAGAGGGGTGACAGACCACAAGTGGTGTTAAGGTCAGAATCACTGAAGCCATCTTAGTGAATGGCGGAGCAAGCTTGAATGCTGGTCCTACTCCTGCACCAAATTCCTGTGTTTTTCATGTATTCTTGTGAATTAGGTTAGTCCTCTGGAACATATTCCCTGATCATGTGGTGGATATGGAGTCACTCCCACCCTTTTAAAGGGAGAGGGAGAGTAATTTCCCGGGTTTGTTCTGAATTGGTTGCAGGTGTCTATTCTTTCTTCTGTTTGTCTTTCCTAGGTCAGGACATGGCTCATCGTGGATCAGTGGGTGTGTGAATGAACCCTCTCTGCATGGAGCAGCCTCACTGGGGCAAATGGGATTTTCTTCCTCTTCTATTCTACGTTCATATGATCCAGCCTCTGACTGTGTGTGTTTCAGTAAATCCAGTGTCCAAGTGATAGAATAATATTTCCTAGGAGGTGCAGGGAGAGTTAAATAGCATACCCTCACATCAACCCCAGGATAATTCAGTGTAATCAGTGACTCGGCCCCAACAGAACCAGCCTGCTTTGGAAGGGCTGTTGGTGAAGTGCTCATTTACTGTGCAGAGAAAACCTTTCCAAATCTAGTCCTACTTTTTCCAACCTTAATGTCAATTTCTGAATTCTCCAAATCTCGCTGTTTTCTGGAATAAATTTCCTGGTCTGTCTGTAGCCTTTCAATTTCTGCTTCCAATTCTTCCTGTGAAGACATTTCAAAAGACTTTAAAATTATGACAAACTTTATATATTGCGTTTTAATATCGTAAAATATCGCAAGGTGCTTTACAGAACCATAATCATTCAAAAATTCAACCCAAGCAAAAGAATAACACATTAGGGCTTATGACAAAAGCTTCATTAAAGAGGTAGGTTTTAAGGAGCCTTTCATGGAGGGGAGGGAGAGATTTAGAGACAATGATCTTAGGCAAGGAATTCTAGAGGTGAAGGCCAACCACCAGTGATGAGAAAAAGGAAGCTAAGGATACACGAAAGACCATGAAGCGATGTTAACACAAGGATGAGAATTTTAAAATCGAGGCATTGCCAGACTAGAATGCAACATAGATCAACAAGCATGAGGATGATGTGAAAACAGGATTTGGTCCAAACCAGGAAAATGGCTTCAAAATTTTAGAAGAAGTTATGTATGCAAAGGGCAGACCGTTAGAGGGAAGTCAGGAAAATATTGGAAGAGTCAACTCTGGCAGTAACAAAAGCATCATAGAGTCATAGAGAACATGACCACAGAAAATGTTTTTTCTCAAATCTCCTCTAAAGCTTCTGCCCCTTTAACACCGTTAATAATGTGATAGTTGAAGGGTGTTTTCTCAACTGGAAATCTGTGTCCAATAAGGTCCCACAAGGATCAGTGTTGGGGCCTTTTCACCCAGAGGGTGGTGGAATCTGGAACTCCCTGCCTGTAAGCATGGTAGAGGCAGAACCCTTCATAACATTTAAAAAATATTTAGATGTGCTCTTTTTGTGATACCAAGACTATGGGCCAAGTGCATTAAAATGGGATTAGAATAGTTAGTGGTTGTTTTTGACCACTGGGGATGCGATGAGCTAAAGGACCTTTATCTGTGCTATAGATCTCTGTCAGAAGTTCAGCTGTAAATAAGCTACTGCAATTATGAGTCTAGTTCAGGCTAATATAGTGGTCAGGCAGCAGCATGGAATTAGCTGCTAGGGAATGAATTTTGTTGTAGAAGACAAAAGTTTCAACCTTCCATATATTCAAATGGATAAAGTTTCTTCTCATCTAGCACGTGATGTCAAATGTGTAGTTTGAAAATATAGCACCTGTGAATGAATGAAGAAAGTTGATGGTGAGATAAAGCGTGTGAAAACTAGCACTATGCTTTCTGATGATGTTGCCAAGGGGCAGAAGTGTGTATGGCAAAACAATAAGAGGCCCTGGATGCATCCTTGTGGGGTACCAGAGGTAATTTTCTAGAACTGGGAAACAAAGACATTGCAAGTGATACACCAACTATTAATAAAATGAAAAGAATGGCACTAAGTGAATGCCGTTCCACACAATTCAATGAAAGTGTAGAGGTTTTGGCAGGGGATTGTGTAGTAAATTGTGTCAAAGGTTTGTGGATAAGTTGAGAAGGATGGGGCTGAATAGTTTACTTTTGTCACAGCCAGAAAGGATGTCACTTGTGACTTATGATTTTTTTTCAGAACTGAAAGGTGTTTGAAAGGCTTTTCCTGTTCTTTTGACATGGGAAGAGGAGGAGCAAAGGGCAGATAGTGGAGATGCCCAATACAAAAGACGAAGGCTTGTTAATGGAGATAAAATAGAAAAAGAGATCTAAAATTTTGTGAATTAAGATGTGAAAGGGAATGAATAGGTCCTCTCTACACACAGCAAAGTAAACAAGACGAGGCAGTAGGGGAGAGGAAGGAATGTAAGAAAATGGAGAACATGTGTAATGCAGTCAGTTTCTGGAGTTGTAGAATTCAGTGTGAGATCTCAAGGCTGTAAAATGCCTAAGTGAAAAATGAAGCATTATTCCTTCAGCTTGCTTTGTGCTTCATTGGAAGATTGCAACAGATCCAGGACAGAAATGTTAGCATAAGGACAAGATGATTTATTGAAATGGCAAGCAACTGGAAGATCAGTGTCATTCCTATGGACAGAGAAGAGGTGTTTCACAAAGCGGTCACCCAGTCTGTGTTTGGTCTTGCCAATGTAAAGAAGACCCCAACGTGGGCAACAAAATTGTGGAAGTATTTAAACATAGAGCTCTGAAAAAGATGCAAATGGATTTGGGAAGTGACAACTCTTTTATGGCATTCAGAGGGGAAAGGGAGGTTGGAGATGGAGCAGTAGTTTGCAAGGATGATGGGGTCAAGCATTATAGTCGTAGTTAACATCAAGACTCAGAGGGATGTTGGGTGATCAGCAGTAGGAACAGGATCAATGGAATAGGATAAAACAAAAAAAATGTGTTGGAGATCTGAAACACAAAAACAGAAATTCTGAACTCGAAACATTAACTCTGTTTTCTCTCCACAGATGCCACCAGCCCTGCTAAGTTTCTACTGCAATTTTTGTGTCATTCAATGAAATATGATAGAAACAAAAGAAAAATATGAGTTCAGGGCTAGGATGGGGATAGTGGTTATTTAGTAAAGCCAGTTAGATGAAGATGTCTAGAGGAAAGGAGAAAAGCATTGAGCTTGTTCAAGACAGAGATCAAAAGATATCTAGATGCTAAGATATTACAGGATATGTGGATGACAGGGAAAGTGTCATTGAATTAGGTGATTAGCTATGATCTAATTGAACAGTAGAACAGGCTTGATGGGCTGAATAGCCTATTTATGCCCTTTATGTTCCTGGGCAGCTGATCAGATAGCTACAGTAGATTAATTACAAGGCTGGAGAGCAAGGAGAAGATAATGTATGTAAGCCTCATGTCGTCCTATATATATAGAGGTGTGTTGTTTTGAGTGCTTGAGTTCCTTTGTTTCTGGGTCTGCATTGAATTAAAATAACTGAAAACAACAGACCTAAGTTTATAAACTGAGCATCTGAACAAATTGTGAAATTCTGAATGCTGTTTTATTGTGACTGGTCACCAGAGACAGTTAGTCCTGCAACTGATGTGAACAGTCTCTAAACTATTAAATAAAAATTGGATTTCAGTATTCACACCCATAACAGGGAATCAAATCAAGTTCAATAAGGAGCTAATATTCACTCGAACTGGAGTTGCTGTGTTAAGTATTGTAGGCCATGAACTCAATTGATATCTGTTATCGAAAAAGAACAATTTAGCGCACTGTCTTCCAAACTCTTAAAACTTGTAAGGTGGTCCCATTATGTCTGATCCTTGGATTTGTATCCTTGGGACAGGCAGTGATAATGTCATTGAACTAGTAATCCAGAACTTCAAGCTAATGCTCTGGTGCCACAGGTTCAAATCTGACCATGGTAGACGGTGAAATTAGAATTGCAATAAAAATCTGGGATTATAAGATAGCCCAATGGCATATAACCTTTGTTGTTGTTGTATGTTGTAAAAAACCATCTGGTTCACTAATGTCCTTTAGGAAAGGCAACTTGTGTTTCTTACCTGGTCTGGCCTACACGTGAATCCAAATGCACAACAATGTGGTTGACTCTAAACAGTCTTCTCAAATTGCCCTAGCAAGCTGTTCAGATCAAGGAGCAATTAGGGATGGAACAATAAATTCTGCTCAACCAGCAACATCCATATCCAATGCAAATAAAATTAAAAGTTAAATATATAGGAGCAAGAGTAGACCATTGAGCCCTTGAGCCTTCTGTTCCATTTGTTAAGTTGCTCTTGACATCAAGTCCACGTTTATCCCTATTCCTCATATCTTTAATAGGATGTGAGTGTCATTGGGAAAGCTACCATTTGTTCTCTCCCTAATTGTCCTTAAATCTATTGCTTGCTAAGCCATTTCAGATGGCTGTTAAGAGTCAGCCGCCTTACAATGAAGCTGAAGTCATGTATCAGACAAGATAAGGTAAGAATGGCAGATTTCCCTCCTTAAAGGGCATTAAGGAACCAAATAGGTTTCTTTTTCAACAAAAAAATTAAATTCCAGATTTATTTAGGGTGTATAAATTCCACCACCAGCATGGTGAGATTTGAACCAAAGTCACCAGAGCACTCACCTGGGCTGCAGGATTACTAGTGACATTACTACTACGCCACCATCACCCCCATTCGTGAACTCAATAATCTCTCCATCAGATAATTATGCTGAATATATTCAATGACAGCCTCTACATGTCTCTAGGCCATAGAATTACAACGGTTTCACAACACTTTAAGAAAAGAAATTCTTCATCTCCATCTTAAATGGGCAATCCCCTATTATGAAACTATGGTCTCAATTCTAGATTTCCTCCATGAGGTAGAAAATTCTTCCCTACATCTACCTTGTCAAGCCCCCTCATAGCTTGCTGATTTCAATAACATCACATCTCATTCTTCTTAACTCTAAGGAGTACGGGCCCAGTGCTACTCAATCTTTCTTCATAAGACCACTGTTTCATTCCAGGAATAAATCTTCCCTGAACTGTCCCCACATGTATCATTCTTAAGAGAAAATTAAACTGTACGTAGTATTCCAAGTGTGGTCTCCCCAGTGCCTTACAGAGATACAGCAAGACTTCCCTATTTCAGAGTCCATCCTCCTGCAATAAAAGCTAAAATTCAATTTGCCTTTCTAATTACTTAACTGTATGTTCATGATAATGTTTTGTGCTCAATGTGCAAGGACATTCAGATCTCTCTGTACTGCAACATTCTTTATTCTCTCTCTGTTCAGATACTATTTTGCTTTATGTTCTTCCTACCAAAGTGAGTATCTCATTTTTGTACATTATGATACATTAGTGATTTTTTTTTTATCCACCACCTAACCTAGCTATAACCCTTTGCAGAATCTTTATAACTTGCTTGCCCACCTATCTTGTATCATCAGAAAATTTGGCAATAATTTAGTATGTTCCTTTAGCAAAGCCATTATTATAAATTGTAAAATATTGAGTCCCCGTCTGTGGCACACCTCTGGTTAAAGTTTACCAACATGAAGAATGACCCATTTACCCCAATCTCTGTTTCCTGGATGTTTGCCAATCCTCTGTCATGCTAATTTACCAGCCCCAGCACATGCCCTTATTTTGTGCAGTAAGCTTTTATCTGGAACTTGACCAAATGTCTTTGGAAGTCCAAATACAACTTGTTTATTCTTTATCGTGCCTGTTTGTTCCATCCTCAAAGAACTCATACAAAACAATACAAACAGAATTTCCCTTTTGAAAAACCATGTTGACTGTGTTTGCTTGTATTGCAGTTTTTTCAGTATTGTGTAACTACTTCCTTAGTAATGGATTCCAGTATTTTTGCAATGATTGATGTTAGGCCAACTTGCATACTTGTTTGCAGGTAAAGGGACAGTTGGAAAATGAGAAGCCTTCAAAAATGAGATAATGAGAGTCTAGAGACAATATGTTCCTATTAGGTTGAAGGGCAAGCCTGGTACTTGTAGGGAATGCTGGATGACTAGAGAAATTGTGGTTTTGGTCAAGAATAAGAAAGAAGCATATGTCAGGTATAAACAGCAGAGATCGAGTGAATCCCTAGAAGAATATAGAGGCAGCAGGAGTATACTTAAGAGGGAAATCGGGAAACAAAAATGGGACGTGAAATAGCTTTGGCAAATAGGATTAAGAAGAATCGAAAAGGATTCTACAAATATACTAAGGACAAAAGGGTAACAAGGGAGAGAATAGGCCTTTTAAAGATCAGCAAGGCCGTCTATGTGTGGAACAGCATGAGATGGGGGAGATACTAAATGAGTATTTTGCATCAGTGTTTACTGCGCATAAGGATATGGAAGATAGAGGACATTGGGAAGTAAATAGTGACATCTTGAAAAATGCCCATATTACAAAGGAGGAGGTGCTGGACGTCTGAAAATGCATAAAGGTGGATAAATCCCCGGTACCTGATCAGGAGTACCTCAGAACACTGTTGGAAGCCAAAGATGTGATTACTAGACCCTTTGCTGAGATATTTGTATCATCGATAGTTACAGATGAGGTGCTGGAGACTGGAGGTTGGCTAACATGGTGCCACTATTTAGGTAATGACTCTATGGTGGGCAAGTTGTTCGAGGGACAGGATTTACATGTATTTGGAAAGGCAAGGACTGATCAGGGATAGTCAACATGGCTTTGCATGGGAAATCGTGTCTCACTAACTTGGTTGAGTTTTTTGAAGAAATAATGAAGAGGATTGATGGGGGCAGACCGGTGGACATGATCTATATGGACTTCAGTAAGGCATTCAACAATGTTCCTCATGGTAGACAGGTTAGCAAGGTTAGATCACGTGGAATACAGGGAAAACTAGCCATTTGAATGCAGAATTGGCTTGAAGGTAGAAGACAGAGGGTAGTGGTGGAGGGTTGCTTTTCAGACTGGAGGCCTGTGACCAGTGGTGTACTACAAGGATCAGTGCTGGGTCCATTGCATCTCATCATTGATATAAATAATTTGGATGTGAACATAGGAGGTATGATAAATAAGTTTGAAGATGATGCCAAAATTGGAGGTGTAGTGGACAGCGAAGAAGGTTACCTCAGAGTACAACAGGATCTTGATCACATGTGCTAATGGGCCGCAGAATGGCAGAAGGTGTTTTATTTAGATAAATGTGAGGTGCTGCATTTTGGAAAGGCAAATCAGGACAGGACTTATACACTTAATGGTAAGGTCCTGGGGAGTGTTGCTGAACAAGGAGACCTTGGAGTGCAGGTGCATAGTTCCTTGAAAGTGGAATCCCAGGTAGACAGGGTGGTGAAGAAGACATTTGGTATGCTTGCCTTTTTTGGTCAATGCATTGAGTATAGGAGTTGAGAGGTCATGTTGCGACTGTACAGGATATTGGTTAGCCACTTTTGGAATACTACATGCAATTCTAGTCTCTCAGCCATAGGAAGGATATTGAAAGGTTTTTGAAAAGATTTACAAGGATGTTGCCAGGGTTGGAGGGTTTGAGCCACAGGGAGAGGCTGTATAGGCTGGAGCTATTTTCCCTGGCGTGTCAGAAGCAGAGGGGTGACTTTATAGAAGTTTATAAAATCATAAAGGGCATGGGTTTTTCCCCTGGGGTTGGGTTTGTCCAAAATTAGAGGGCATAAATCTAAGGTGAGGGGGAAAGATTTAAAAGGGACCTGAGGAGCAACTTTTTCATGCAGAGGGTGGGGCACGTATGGAATGAACTGCCAGAGGAAGTGGTGGAGACTGGTACAATTACAGCATTTAATATGCATCTGGATGGGTATATGAATAGGAAGGGTTTAGAGGGATATGGGCCAAATGTTGGCAAATGGGACTATATTCAGGATATCTGGTCGGCATAGATGAGTTGAACCGAAGGGTCTGTTTCCATGCTATACAGCTCTATGACTCTATGGACTATGGTAGATTCTCCCTTTACTTCATTAGATATGTTCAACGAGGAGGTAAATTGTTCACTGACTTGGTTGGTGTTGTTTCATGTGAACTATTTCTTGGTTTGCAGATCCAATTACAAATGTTACATGTGAAAATGTCATTGATGAATAGGTAAAGGCAGTAGCTTTGGGGAATGCTTACTTGTCCTGAAGGGATCTGACTATTCTCTTCAAAGGTTGAGATTGCTTAATGATGGGGAATTTTTAATTGATCTGCCTAACATTGTTAAACTTGCCTATGTAGTTTGTAGCTGACATACAGGCTCTGAGGGTGGGCTTTCAGAATGTCTTTGTATCTGAGTTTGGGACTTCCAGTTATGCATGTTCCAATGCACTGCTGGCTACAGAATATCCTCTTTGTGGAAATCTTCCACGCAAACTCGGAAGATTACAATCAATGTATCCACTCTCTGTATAGCCACTTCTTTTAAGACCTTAGGATGCAGGCCATTTGGTTGAGGAGACTTAGTAACTTTTAGACCCATTAGTTTGCTTAACATTTTTCTCTAATAATGATTGTTTTTAAGTTTCTCCTTCCTTTTAGCCCCTTTTTTTTACTGTTAGTCGGTTTGACATAGGGCGAGGAAACAACGTTTATGATTTTAAATGAGATGAACAAGCTAACATACTGTCATTCCCAGCAGGATTGGGTTACAGAGTCAGTGATTACAATGGTAATAATCCAGTCAATTGTAAGATTATTTCCGTTTGTTTTAACCGATTCATACTTTCATTCTTCATGTTCTGGTTGTTGTTTTTCCCATGTAGCAATCTGTGCATCTTCTTTCTCTTACCAGCTGCTTCATCCTTGGTGCTGCTCTCAATCTCACTCCGTAATTGTTTCTTACTCTTACTATCTCTTTTTCTCTCTCATCACCTCTCATTCTCCCCACATCTCTTTCTTCCTGACATTTCTCTCTCTGACCATCTTTCTACCATTTCACCCAAAATCTCTCTGTGCCTCATTACCTCTCTCTTTTCCTATCTCTCCCTCTCTCAGACTCCCACTATCTCTCTCTTTCTCTGTCTCATGCTGTGAAACACCCCAACCTGCCATTGAGCCTTGATTGATCAGGGCTGTCCCCCAGATTCCCGGCTCCTGCCTTGTACTGCAGGATTTCAAACCAGAAATATGCCAGCTGCTTGGCAGGAAACAGGAGTAAAGGAATTCTATTGAGGTAATTCCATTAAATCCTGCTGGGTCTCCAAATTCCCAGCAATTGGAGATTTCCTGGCTGTTGACAGCTGCCCCATTCCCTCCCTGTGAATCTCAGGCCCTCAGTATTTAGCCTCAGAGCAGTGATATTTCCTTCTGTGGCCCTCAGCAAAGAACGACTCCATGTGTATTATAAACTGAATAACTACACATATCAGCTTCATTTCACAGTCAGCTGAGTGTGCATTTTCATGTGAAATCAGTACCTCCATTTCCGGGAATCAGCCAAGAGGAAAATCATGAGGGGCCTGGGTAGCATGAATAGCCAAGGTCTTTTTCCCGAGAAAAGGGAGTCCAAAATTAGAGGGCGCAGGTTTAAGGTGAGAGGGGAAAGATATAAAAGGGACCTGAGGGGCAACTTTTTCATGCAGAGGGTGATGCCTGTATGGACCGAGCTGCCAGAGGAAGTGGTGGAGGCTGGTACAATTATAACATTTAAAAGGCATCTTGATGGGTACATGAATAAGAAGGGTTTAGAGGGAAATGGGCCAAATTTCTGGCAAAATGGAGCAAGATTAATTTAGCATATCTGGTCGACATGGGTGAGTTGGACCAAATGATGAGTTTCCATGCTGTACAACTCTGATTCTGAAAAGAGGCAGATTGTGCCTGAATTGTTTCTTAAGCAATATTTCCCTCTTGTAGTAAGGAACACATATTCCTTTTTCCACCCAGTTCATTAGTCTACAGCCATGGGTGTCCCTTACTCCCCCCAATACTGGAATTTTTCTCCTTGATTCTTGGGCGGAATCTTCCAGTGTTACACAAGGTTGCAACAGATTCTATATCACCACGTCATGGAGTCCTGTTCTCACGTGAGCCCACAAAGTGGAAGACTGAGTTCTATGGTGCTGTCAATTCCCACAGGAGTCAAGTGTGGGTGAAGGTTAACCACCTTGGGTCGCTCTCACTTCCCTGCCACTGCCCATCCTGTTTCCTCTGTCAGACAAATGGGAGAGAGAAAGTCTGAATGACAAAAAACAAACTGCCATAAATCCAGACTAGGCAAAGCACAAAGTCAAGAAACATTAGACTAAATGAGTATTGTCATCAGTCAGTTCCAATGAATGTTGGTCATTTACAAGAAAACTCTCATTGTATTTAGCATCAGATTGTGTCACTCACCTTAACTGTCGCTTGTGCCTGATCCAGGCTCAGCAGTGTGTGGGATTTATGTTTCCCTACTATTGTACAGTAAACACATACACACAGAGCTTCATCTTCACAGTAAAACTCTAGGATCTTCTTATGGTCATTGCATTGCCTCACTGTAACGTCAAGCCCAGGTTCAATGAGGGTGTGATCTTGGTAGGCCTTGTTCCGCAAATGAGGTTTTAAATGAAGGAAGCAAAAGGAAGCTAAACAAGTAAGGCACGTTTTCACAGCTTGGAATGGTTTATCATCACAATTATCACAATATACGCTGGGTGAATCAGCAGGAGACTGTGTCTGTTTGTATTTTGCCACTATGTTATACAGTGTGGCGTTTCTCTCCAAAGTGGGCTTGTGCTTGAATTTCCGGTGACACTGAGGACACTCAAACTTTCTTGGCCCCGTTGTCTGGGCCCACACTCCTTCAATACAGTTCAAGCAGAAACTGTGCTGACAGGGTAATGTCACGGGGTCCTGGTACATGCGGAGGCACACAGAACAGGTTAATTCATCCTCTAAAGCTCCAGGATCCATTGTCAACACAGCTGACGAGGTTTCACGCAGCAGCAGAGAGACTGAGGAGTGAGAGCAGCAAGTAAAATTCTTATAAGCACTTGGTGTAAAAGTGACAATTTGAGTTTCACTTCCATGACTCACTCTAGTTGAAGATTAACTGTTTCAGATTTGGAACAATATGGTCCCAGTATAAGGATATTAGAGAAAATGTGACTCAGATCTAATTTTGGACAGAACATGCTCCAGATTTAATTGGGAGAGAACATAACCAAGATCTATTGGCAATGGAACGGTATCCAAATCTAACAGGGAGAGAATGTGATCCAAATAATGGAAGAAGACAAGGTGGAAAATCATTTCCATGTTTAATCCCCCTGCCGCCCTCACCCTGTCTATCCTGTCTCTGTTTTTCACACATCCTAAAAGGTTTCCTGTTGCTGCCAATACTGCCCATCAATCTCCTATCACCCCTCATTTTCCCCCTAAAGGTCAGATCAGAGACAGGGCTCATAATTACTGGTGCCAGCCACAGTAGCATTCCCCAACATCATTTCCAGTGCCAGCTACATTCACCAAGGCGAGCAGAAGAAAGGATCACAAACCTGTCGCACTGTCCACTCAGCACAATTAGGAAATTGACAAATACTATTTAAAAGCTAGTCAGAGGGGACTGTTTCAGGGATGCACCAGATACACGTGTTGTTTGGAATAGACAAGGAGACAGGTAGAAAGTGGAAAGCCAGTCTGCCTGTCCCAGGGAATTATGCTCAAGCCTCAAAAGTTTCAGTGGCAGAGAGAGAATATTGAATATTGTTAGCTAAGTGCCCTTGGTACTGCACAGATTCTGGGCACAGTGGGCAATCATCACTCAGCCAGTATAGTACCGTCACATGCCTGTCATTTCAAGGGAAGAAAACTGAAGGACAGCTGCAAGGATGATGTTAAAGTAAGCCGACCACAAGGAAGGTAGATAACAATAGGGACAAGAATGTTGGGACCATTGACAATGAGGCCCAGAAGTTCAACAGGAATGACAGAACAAGAGACTGAAATACACAGAAGCTATATCCCTATGTCAGATCTACTTCTGAACAGAATTTCCTTGAAATCACTGAGATTGAAACCTGAGCAGGGAGATAAAAGGAGGGAACAAGGATAGAAACAAAAGACAGAAAAGTAAGGAGCAGAAGTGGAAGGCAGAATAAACAAGAGCGTAAAACAAATGGGTCCATAGTGCAAAATAAAGCAAAGAATACAAAGGTTAAAAAGACAAGTATAAAGGCATTGTCAGAGATTGTAAGAACTGCCAAATGCTGGAGTCAGAGATAACAAGTGTGGTGCTGGAGGAACACAGCAGGCCAGGCAGCATTAGAGGAACAGGAAAGCTGACGTTTCGGGTCAGGTCCCTTCTTCAGAAATGGTGTATTTGGATCTCTGAAGAAGAGTCCCGACCCAAAACATCAGCTTTCCTGTTCCTCTGATGCTGCCTGGTCTGCTGTGTTCCTGCAGCTCCACACTGTATAAACGCATTGTGTCTTAATGCACAGAGCATTCACAATAAGGTGGATGAATTAAAAGCGTAAAGAGATACATGCGGTTATGATACAGAGACATGACTGGAGGGTGACCAAGGATGGGAACTGAACATCTGAGGTATTGGAATATTTAGGAAAGGTAGACATACAGAAAAGGCGTGGGGTATTATTGTTAGTAAAGGAGTGCAATGCTTTCGTGAGGAATCTTGTTTTATGTGGTCCACTGGGGAAAAGCAACTGTAAAGTAATAGAAATGTTCATTAAGATAGACACTGAAGAAGTTGAATCTAAAACTTGGGTCTTGAATCTAAATAAATGGAACTACAAGGCCATGAGGCATGAATTAGCAATGATGGATTGGGGACCTTACTAAAACAGTTGGTAGAGGAACATATGCATGACTTATACCATTTATTCATTCGTATCTGATGTAAAAATAATTCAAGAAAGGTGGCTAAACCACTACTTACAAAATAAATTCAAGTAATAGCTTAGAATTCAGCAAAAGAGGAAAAGATATTGATTAAGAGGGCAATAAGACAATATGAGAGTAAATTTGCAAGTAACATATTATAAAAGTAGTGCTAACCAAGCACTTGAAAAGCGTAATAGGATTAGACAAAATCAGCATGGGTTTATGAAAGGAAAATCATGCTTAAGCAATCTCCTAGAATTTTCATAGAATCCCTACAGTGTGGAAACATTCCATTCAGCCCAACAAGTCCACACTGCCCTTCTGAAGAGCATCCCACCCAGACCCATCCCCCTACCTTTTCCCTGTAAGCCTGCATTTCCCACATCTAATCCACCTAATTTACACACCCCTGGACACTATGAGCAATTTAGCCTGGCCAATTCACTTAACCTGCACATCTTTGGACCATAGGTGGAAACCCACACAGACACAGGGAGAACATGCAAACTCCACACAGACAGTCACCCAAGGGTGGAATTGAACCCAGGTCCCTGATGCTGTAAGGCAACAGTGCTAACCACTGTGCCACCGCAATTTTCTCAGGACATAATTATAGAGTAGATAAGACAGAGCCGGTGGATATGGTGTATTTGGATTTCAGGAAGGCTTTTAAAAGGTCCAACATAAGAAGGGTCCACCTTTTCTGAAGAAAGGTCTAGGCCCGAAACGTCAGCCTTCCTGCTCCGCTGATGCTGCTTGGCCTGCTGTGTTCATCCAGCTCTACACCTTGTTATCTCTATAACATAAGAAGCTAGTTGGCAAAATTAAAGCATATGGGATTTGGGATAGTGACCTTTCTTCAGAACTCTTCACTGGACCTAAAGTGTTAACTCTGATTTCTCTCCACAGATACTGCCAGACCTGCTGAGTTTCTCTAGCAATTTCTGTTTTTGTTCCAGATTTCTAGCATTTGCAGTTCTTTGTTTTATTTTATTACAGAAATAAGTACGTCTTTTTCCAGGTGACAGGTGGTGACTGCTGAAATACTGCAGGGATCAGTGCTTGGGCCCAACTAATCACGGTACATATAAATGTTTTGGATGAGGGAATCAAATACAATATTTCTAAATTTGTTGATGACACAAAATTGGTGGGATTGTGAATTGTGAGGTGGATGCAAGGAGGCTTCATGGAGATCAAGTCAAGTTCAGTTTGTGGGAAAACACATGGCAAATGTGGTATAATGTGGATAAACATGAAGTTATACACTTTGATGAGAAAAACAGAAAAACTGAGTATTTTTAAAATGGCAACATATTGGAAAGTGTGGATGTACAAAGGGACTTGGATGTCCTTGTACACCAGTCAGTAAAAGTATACAGACAGGTGCAGCATACAATTAGGAAGACAAATGCTATGTAGCCTTCATTGCAAGATGATTTGAGTTCAGAATAGACATGTCTTATTGAAATTATACAGGGTCATGGTGAAACCACACCTGGAATATTTAGTGCTGAATTAGTCTCTGTACCTAAGAGAGGATCCACTTGCCATAAAGGAAATGCAGTGGAGGTTATTTGGAGTGATACCAGGAAGCCAGGACTGTCAAATAAGGACAGTTTGCCTGACTGGGGATGTATTCATGAGACTTTATAGGAATGAGAATAGATTGAAAGTAAGCATGCAGGTACAGCAGTCGTTAAAGAAGGCAAATGTAAAGTAGACAGACATGTGCAGCAAGCAATTAGGAAGACAAATGCCATGTTAGCTTTCATAGCAAGAGGATTCAAGAACAGGAGCAGGGATATCTTGCTGCAACTATACAGGGCCTTAGTGGGACCACAACTGGAGTTTTGGGTGCAGTTTTGGTCTCCTTATCATAGAATCCCTACAGTGTGGAAACAGGCCCGAGGGAGGATGCAGCAAAGGTTTACCAGACTGATTCCTGAGATGACAGGACTGATGTACAGGGAGACACTGGATCAGTTATGGCTATATTCACTAGAATTTAGAAGAAAGAGAAGGGATTTCATAGAAACCTAGAAAGTTCTAACTGGGTTAGACAGGGTGGGTGCAGGAAGGATGCTGTCGATGACTGAGGAATCCAGAATCAGAGTTATAGTCTAAGGATAAGGGATTGGCCTTTTAGGAAAGAGATAAGGAGGAATTTCTTCACACAGAGGTTAGTGAGCCTGTGAAATTGTCTGCCACAGAAAACTGTTGAACACAGAACAGTACAGACAGAAACAAGCCATTGAGCCCACCAAGACTGTGCCGATGATTTTCTAACTTTTGCCTTTACACTGTCCACTTCACTCTTTTCCCTGCCTATTCATATATCTGACAAGTTGCTACTGTATCCACCTTCACCACCTCCTCTGGCAGCACATTCCAGGCACTCATCCCCCTCCTTTAAACTTTCACCTTAAACCTATGTCCCCTGATAATTGACATTTCAACCCATTCTTTCCATGCTTCTCCTAATTTTGTAAATTTCTCACGTCCTCCTCATTCTTCAATGTTCAAGTGAAAACAAACCAATTTTGTCCAATCTGTCCTCATTCTTAATACCCTCCAAACCAGGCAACGTGGTAAACTGTTTCCGTACCCTTTCCATAGCTTCCGCATCCTTCTTGTAGTGTGGTGACCAGAACTGTACACAATATTCCAAATATAGCCTAACTGAAGTTCTATATAACTGTAACAATACTTACCAATTTTAACACGCTATGCCCAGACAGAAATCATATGCCTTCTTGAACACCATATCCCCTCATGTTGCCACTTCCAGGGAACTGTGGACATGTACATTTCGAGATCCCTCTGTATGTTGATGCTACTAAAGGTTTAGCCATTTATTTTATACATCCCTCCTGCATTAGATTTCCCAAAATGCATCGCCTCGCATTTGTCTGGATTAAAATCCATCTGTTGTTTCTCCGCCCAAGTTTCTAGACTGTCTTTATCCTGTTGTATCCTCTGGCAATCCTGCTTGAAGTGAAAAGTGACACAATGGCACCTGGAGCTCAGCTTTCCAAAGGTATAGATACCATGCAACAGGTACAGCT